CGTGAGGATTATGGCACAGTGTCTGGCACACAGTCCGTGATTTGGCGGGATTGTTGTTAATTTCTGTGAATGTGTAGTTACTGGCAGGCTTTGTTGGCGATGAGGTTGCTGGTTTAGAAGGGGCCTTGGAAGAAGCCAACATAAGAGGTAGTCTGCAGAGATAAACTTTCTTTTAAAACTTTTTGTTGTCGTTATTAGGTGCAGTTGAGTTGGTTCTGACTCAGCGACCCTATGCACTGTGGAACCAAACACTGCCCGGTCCGACGTCATCCTCACAAGTATTGTTACACTTAAACCCATTGCTGATGACACTGTGCTAATCCATTTCCTTGGAGGCTTCCTCTTTTTCACTCACCCTCCACTTTTCCAAGCATGATGTCCTTCTCCAGCTTCTGGTCCCTTCTGATAACATGTTCAAAGTATGAGAGACGTATTTTGTTTCATCTCTCCATTCTTCTACCCCACCCCCAGTGGGACTTATTCTGAACTGGCCTTTACAATTATAACTGCTTACACATGTGCGTTGCGTTACAGCTTTGGAGCTTTTAATGTGGTTGAATTTATCCCACTTTACCTGCTTTCACCTAAGAACCTCTCTTGGGATTCACCATCTCCTACACGGAACCCCGCCAGACCCCTTGAGGGCGCTGGAAAAACCTGAGAGGCCAACAACTGAGTTGCGGAGCGCGCAGAGCAGCGGATAATATCGGACAGCGGCGAACTGCAGAGAAGTCGGCGTTGGGTTACGCCTCGCGTACGCGCACAGTGTCCAGTAGACGGCGCCCGCATGTCGGGCGTCGAGCGGGGAAAGCGAGTCGGGTCCCGCCCGCCCCGCCCGCGTGACCAGAACGCCACTGCTGGACCTTCCATGGGCGGTTGGTGTCGGTATATAAGGTGGAGAGGGTGCGTCTCCGTTCAGTTCTGGGGCGAGCATCTTTCGCGCTCGCAACACGCCACTCCCCCCAGGTGAGGCGACCTCTCCGAGAAGGCGGTGATGTGCGGAACTTCCTTGATTTTTGGAGCCTGTTAGACGTTCTGGCACCCATAAAAGTGGGTCCCAGCGCTCTAAGTTTTCATCAATATTTTAAATTTGTTGTTTCTAGATCTGACTCCACACTCAAGTCATCATGAACGTTTTTCAACTCCTGATGAAAAAGAAAGAAGTAAGTTTTAAAGTTATCATATTAAAAATCATGACTAAAAATGTTAGATTTTAAAGATGGAGAGATGGTGCAGGTTTTGAAGAAAGTATAAAATGACATAACGATTAGGCATATTTAAAATGTTTCACATCGAAGCATCTCAACGTTTACTCTCAATCTTTTATATGTTAGCTTATTCCTTTAGCCCTGATTATGACCTTCGCGGCGAGTGGAGCCTCATCTTTTGCTGTATATTCACTTAAAAAAACTGATGTGATGTAAGTAGGCATTATTTATAATAAATGTTTTTAGGTGTTTGGTTGACCATCAGCTCATGAAAGATAAATGTCTTGGTGCCTCACTCCCCATGGATAATTAAGAATGTCAATCATGAACTTGGGAGTCAGGACTAGAAAGTATCTTGAAAGCAGAAGACTTAAAACGATAATTAACAAAATTTTGAATTAGTTTGTTATTGTGTCTAAATATCCTTTCAGTCATTTGATCCTCTTCTATTCTTATGTAGTCAAGTAAAATTTGATTCTTTTTAAACTTAATTTTTTAATGTAAATTCTTAAAATGCCTGCCTGGATTACACATCTTGAAACCTGAATAATCACTTTAATTAGAATTTACAGTTTTAGCATTTTAGGAAGATATTTACTAATGTGGTAGAGTTGATAGAACCAGTTGTCTGCTCAGAATTGAATCTTGACTTCTGCTATAAGAAGGTAAAGCCCTACATTTCCTAGTATATAAGAAAGATAAACTTAAAACTGAACTTGGCCCAGTGCAGGGCTCGAGAGAGAGGGCAGTAACTCAGAGCCAGTGGCAGAGAATCTCAGCATTGAATTCATCACCTATAAAGCCCAACTCCTGCACTTCCATTGGCAGCAGGGATCCAGGGCAAGAACCTTGTTCTTTGCTCTTCATCTGGCAGTTTCACTGCCATTGTTATTCAGCTTGTCTAGCAGAATAAAGGGATGTTAGACTTCCCATCATGCTTAGAGGAATTGATTCTTAATTTTTGATTCAAACTGTGAAATTCCCTTAAGGATTCTGCCATCAATTTCAGTTACTACTGATAATTAGCTAACAGATGAATACCTAAGTATGCAGATTGAGTCTTATTTCTAAGCATATAGAAATAAGAACATATGGATATTGTTGTTGTTGATTTAAAATTCACTTACCTTAACATTTCATTAGCTTTTCTTTACTTTTAGTGTTGATCGAAAAGGAAATCCTGAACCTTGGGACGCTGTGGATCCTACTGTACCTCAAAAGGTATTGCTAAATTAAAAACAAGTGATTTCTATTTGGCCCAAACTTTATCACCTTTGTCAGCAAAATGGATTTAATTAACACCGTACCCTTTTGTTGTTGTTAAGTGCGTTCCTGAGGAGCAGGTGGTGAGTTTGACCTGCTGACCTTGCAGTTCAAATCAACCTTGCAGTCCGGTGCTTATCTTACAGCACCACACTATGTAGATTGCCATGTAGATTGGTGTTAAAGAGTGCTATGAAGTTGGAAAGATCTAGTCCAAATCCTGGCTTCCTGGTGACTTTAGACACTTTGGCTTCTCCGAGGCTCTGAGTCTCTATAAAATGGGCATGATGATAGTAGAGCTCTACCTTTGAGTTGTTAAAGGGATTAAAGAGGATCATGTGTGAGTACAAAGGGCCCTTTAGCACGCGGCCTGTCCAATAGGCAGTAGTCAAAGATTTCAGTGTTGTAATGCATCGTCTCATTTTAGCCATATCTTACCTAAAGTTAATATGAGGTATATTGTGATAAATAATAGACCCTCCTGAAAACAGGAGTAGCAATCTCTTGAAGCAGAATTGGACTCCTGGTGTGGTGCTGGGTAGGATTAGTGCTGGACTGCGAACCACAGGTCGGCAGTTCAAACCTACTCTGGAAACCCTATACAGTGTCACTGTGAGT